ATTAATAATAAATTATGTAAAAATTCAGAAAGTAATAAAATATTATAAAATGAAATTTTCTATAATATATATTGAATTACAATAAAAATAATTAAATTCAAAGTAATCTGAAAATGATAAACCTGAAACAAAATATGTTAAAATACTAGCTGTTGAATTTCGAAATTTACATTATTGTTAAAAAATTTAGTATTGAACTTCAAAGGTTTTCAATAACAAAATAATACATATCAAAATTTAACCATTAAATTTTGATTTCAAAGGGTTGCAACACAATCAATAATCTTTGAAATCTAATGTTGCAATATAATTTCGAAGGTTTTCGAATTAATATAATTGCTGATGATAGAGATAATGAAGAGACAAACAATTGTAAATTATTAATTAGTTGTTTTGGTAACTAGTCATATAAATGATAGTAAATTAATTGATATAAATATTTGTGTAACAGGATGATCAAAATTGTGACTTGTCCATGCTTTATGCTCCAGGCAATTAATAACAATAAATATCATTATGTTTGGATACCTTAAACGTTCACTTGACGTTGTTAAAGAACAAGGCTCGAAAAGTAAAAAATTTCGATTTTATATAATATATAAAAAATTATTAGTTTATTATTATTTTAAACCCGAGCTTCATTAAAATATAAAGTTGCTAAAGCGAACGCTTTCGAATGGGAAAAAGAACAAATCCTATTAAAACTGAATTGCAAAGAAGACTTAAAAGAATGGGTTACTGGATGTGATAAGGATATTGGTGGTATGTTTGTGATCGTATTCAAGTTATTATACACAATTGAAGGACCTTTGAAGAGGTTTGAATAGATTTAATTGGTGGTGATCAATTAAAGAATTATTAAAGAATTGATAATAAATAAATAAATAATAATCATCATTATAATAATAATAATTTAAAGGAAATTCAAAAGCAAATTTAGAAATTAGTCCAGAAGGATTTGGAAAATTCTCTGGTGAGATTTCACTAGATTTACCTAAAAACAATCCTATTATAAAAAGAAGCGGTTATGCAGCTATCAGATCAGCGGTAATGAGGACTACAAGAATATATATTTATAGAAATACACAAAATAATAGAATATAATGTTTTTTTATATTTTATATTTCAATTTAGAGTCGTGGATCACTCTTCGGCCTTAAAGTTTGGGATACTACATTATTCCGGTATCTAACATTACGAGTCAAAGGAAATGATGATAAAAAATATTTTGTAAACATACAAACTGATGGACCAATTCCGACAGATTTATATCAACATCGATTATATTTGAGAAACATTGGTGAATGGGAAAATGTTATGGTAAATATTTATATATATTTATATTTAATATTTTTAATATTTTAATATTTAAATATATTTATATTTAGATTCCATTCAAAGATTTTATATTGACAAATAAAGGAATCATACAAGATCCTCAAGTAATAATGTATAGAGAAAAGGTTCGCACCATTGGAATTTCATTATTGAGTCAACCTGGTCATTTTTGTTTAGAAATTGATTGGATAAAAATGATGAATACTGAAACTACATTTGGTAAATATAAAAATGTATTTTATTAAATAAAGGAATTCCTCATTCATTGTTTGTTAATTAATTTATTATTATTATTTAGGTGATTATGACTTATGAAATTTTTCAGGCAACAAAATTCAAAAATTCATGGCGGTGAAGTTTTTATTATAATTTATTACAGTTTTTAGTCCTTTTTTGTTGTATAATAAATAAATATATAAAATAAAAATTACAATTAAATTAAATTATTAATATTATTATTTGCAAACAATTATTTTTTTTTAAATAAATAAATATTTTTCCAAAGAAATAAAAAGTTACGTACCATACGGGCCTTTAAGGTACGAGTAATAACCCTTTCAGGAGTTCTAATAAAATTTTGATATTCAAAATTAATAAAAATTTGAAATAACAAAATTAATAAAATTAATAAATTAATAAATTAATAAAAAATTAACAAATAATCCAGAATCATATGTAATCATTATATTTCTTACATAACATGAACAACAGCACCCCAACCAGCCAAACAATCTCTATCAACTGCGCATAATAAAGATTGTGAAATTGTTTCAAATAAATCTTCCGGTTCCTTTTAATTAATAATAATATAAAGAATTTATTTAAAATTTTTATTGGAAAATTACCAAACAAAATACAAAAATAAAATACAAAATATTGTAATTGAAAATACCAAATTAGGTTCCCAAACGTTCTCACATATTCCGTACAAGTTCTCCTGAGATGTTCCACCCACTACAAAATCACAGGTTTCAGTGGAACATCCTATTGAATCCATTCCGCAAATAAAAGGTTGATTATTTTTATCGAGACCAGCAACCAATGGTTCCACAAAGAAAGGACCCCACCTATTTATAGTTTTATTATTATAGTTTTATTATAATATATTATAATTCATTATAGTTTATTATAGTTTATATTTTATAGGTTATTTAATTTTCAATTAGTTAAATTAATTTTTAAAATCTCTGTTAAAATCTCAATTAATGAAGTTAAATGAATTCTCACCTCTTTTCATACAATGTTGAAGCTATCATGTTTGAGAGTGTTCTAGGTTCAATTTCGCGTTCCTCGCGTAATTTGTACATATTAGCCTTGAATCGAAAAAGTTCTTGTCTGTGATTATTATAATTATATTTGATGATTATTATAATTGATGATTAATGATTATTCTTATAATTAATTACTATTATTATAATTTATTATATCCATTATTACGTATAATTATTTTATAATTATCAATACATACAAAGTTTGCGTATCAGTAGCTAATCCAGGAAGTCCAACATAACTCTTATCCGTAACTGGAAAAACTTTTGAAAATTCGAAACCTATGGTCTGCATCTGAATACCGATACGTTTATCTGAAGCAATGGCCACGCAATTCTTGCCTGTCATAGCCACTACGGCTCCACCATTATAACTTCCAGGATCAGGCTTATGAAATAAAGAAGGAAGTAAGTCAAAATTATATAAGATCGAGTTTCTTAGTTCTTGCAATGCTTACCATGTTTAAAAAATTTGAGTTAACTGAATAACCTTCATTTTTTAGCTGATCTTAACAAAATATCAAGGCACGTGTAAGTTACACAATTGTGATAGATAAATTAATGAAGTGATTCTTAAAAAAAAAATTTTTTTTTTTTTTTGCACGCGCTCACTTAAATTCTTCAAAATTTTTCAATTCTTGAGTTGTCCTATTTACGATATTTTCTTTTATTTTTCATATGCAAACTAAATTTCACTTGATTACACGTTAATATTTTGAAATTTCATAATGGAATACATTCCAGGTATGTGTATATATATATCTATATCTATCACTTTTTATATTACTTTTACAAAACGGTCTTTTACTCTCTAATTCAGTTCTCGCAAAACGTGAACAAATTGCTGAGGATATCTTGACAAATAGACAATTGGTATGTTAAAAATAACTAATTTTATATAATATAAATTTATACACATATATATACGCATATATGTTTTTTATGTGACATTTTGTGACATTTGGAAATGATGACTCACAAGTCGATCATTTAATACATTTATTTTTGGTGTTAACTGTAATCCATTTAATTCATTTTAAAAATAAAATTTACTCTTAACATATCAATTTAATAATTCCTTCTAATTTAATGTAATCAATCCTTATTTATATTTATATGTGACAAATTTATTCCACATCCCTTTATCCTTTATCAAATAATTTTTAATTTTTTTTTTTTTTAAAAAAAAAAATAGATTATAGATTATGATCGAACGCGTAACACTAACAGAGAAGCTCTCAATCGGATAAAAAAAGAACTCAGTAATGAAAAAAAGGTTTGGGTAAACATTGGAAATTTCTTTATTAAAATGGATAAAGATAATGTAAAGACTTATATTGAAAAAGGTAAATAATATTTATTGGTCTTAAAATATTTCCCTAATAAAATTAATAAAATTAATTAAATAAATTTTATTTTTTTTTTTTATTAGATCAACAAAATTTAGAAAAAGAAATTTCAAATTTGAGAGAATCGGTTAAACGAAAAATAGTTGAATTAGAAAAGTTGGAAACAGGTGAAAATAAAAAGATGAAAGGATTTGATTTGAAAGGAATTACTTCAGAAGATTTATATAATATTACTACTGATCAAAAGTAATAAGTGTTAAATTTAAATTAAATTGAAATGAATGTATTCATGAAAAAGTAATAATGTACATTGTATTTTCTAATAGTATTATTAATAAATAATTATAAAATATAATTTATCCTTGCCATTTTTGACAATTTAGAGATCACAAAAAAAAAATAAATACAAATAAATAATTTAAAATTTTTTTTAAACAAAATATTTCCATTCACCAATTTCTCGTAATTTGTTTTTGTTTATATCTAAAAATTCTAGTGGATCTATAACAGTAGTTGCATCCATTACTGCTACTCCATGTCCACCAACAGGTGTTTCATAACACTCGAATTCATTTCGCACTAATTTCTCCTCAACCAATTGTATATATTCAGGAAGTATATCTAAGAAAATTTTTAAGAAATTTTTAAAATATTTATCGCTTAATTAGGAATAATTACAATAATTATAAATATTTACCATCCGGAACTAAAGCCAAAGCACATCCTCCTCCTCCAGCACCAGTAAGTTTTGAATGTAAATTATGTTCCGAAGTTATTTCCCGAATTTTTTCAAGTGATGGATGACTTACTCCCAAAGAATTTACAAGGTAATGATTCAAATCAATGAGTTCCTATGATTTATATATAAAATTAATTATGAATATAATAATAAATCCAAGTTTGATTTTACATTTAAAAAATAAAAATGAATAATTTTTTTTTTTGAACCTCTAACTTTTTAAAAATTTCTTCTTGAGAAACTAAAATGAAATAATATAATAATATAATAAGGTCAATATGTTGTAACTTATAATCTATCAAAAAAAATGATTTATATTTTACCTCCACTTTCTTGTAATTCTATAAATGACAAACTAATTCTATCAATTGCATCCAATATATGATTGATAATTTGTGGATACTAACGAAAAAAAAAGTAAAGAAAGTAAAGAATAAGCAAAGAATAAGCAAAGAACAAGTAACCAAAATAAATAAAAAATAAAATAAAATAAAAATAAAGAGACCATACTTACTTTTTCGCGTTTTACTCTAACCTTTTCTATTTGTGTTTTGGCGTCACGTGGTTCTTTTGTATTTATTAGTAAAAAGCGAAATGAATGAAATCTTGAAACGCAAAGATAAAAATATTAAAAGTCATAAAAGATACAACACAAAAAAATCATATGATTAAATCAAAAAATTTGTCTACCCCTTTAAATTGGTATGACGCGACCCTTTCTTATAAGAAACTGCACCTCCTTTAAATAAAAATAAAAGGTATATAAGAATTAGAGATAAAGAAGAATAGAAAAAAGTTATTAAGTTTTATTAGTTTTATTACCAAATGTTGCTACGGCATTATCAATTCCAGAAGGATTTCCTTGGATAACCTTTTCAGCTTGAAATGCCCACTGATTAATTAATTCCGCGGCATTTAAAGTTGAAACTTGATTACTTTCATCAGGAATTGAAATATGACCAAAAGCAAGTAATAATCCAGTAGCCAAACAGACTGAATATGATGCGGAAGAACCTAATCCTGCACCAATTGGTAAATTTGAACTAACTTGAAAGGTCATACCATCCCTTTATAATGAAAATAATAATAATAATATTATTATTATTAAATCCATGAACGTAATGAATGATTAATTATTTGAATAAAAAAAATTAAGATTTTAAAGAATTACCATGAAATCTGTTTATTCTCTATACTTATGACAAGGTAAAGGAAAGCTAAAGCAGCAGTACGTTGAAATTTATCTAATTGCATTTCATCATCCATGTTACCTTCTTCGACCATAGGTTTTAAAGCTTGCAAAAGATTTTCGTTGAACATAAAATCTTTTTGTTGTTCATTTTCAGCTATAATGACAAGAAAAGTGAATCAAAAATTTACCAAGGTAAAAATATCAATGAAATAATTTTCCTTACTATGTTTTATAAGGTGATACGGAAGGTTCTTCTTTGGCCATGATAAAGCACGTCGAAGGCCAAGGTCGGGAAAATTCAACTCGAGATAACCGTCCAAACGTTTCTCAAATAGAGCATATGTTCGTAGGCCGTCAAGACTTCCAGCTATAGCCGTCTAGAAGATAAAAAAAAAAAAATTTCTTTAAGAAAATAAAATTCGATTGGTTTTTTTTTTTATACTAAGTTATTATGATAATACCTTACCTTTCCGTAGACAACTGCGTGTTCCCCAAATAAAATAACTTTCCCAGGAGCAGAAACAAGAAATCGATTTAGAAAAGACATAATTCGATTTTGTCACATTTTTTTTTTTTGGAATCTGATTACGTATGTAGTACATGCTCAAAAATTAAGATTCCCACTATTCGGAAAATAGATAAATGGCTATGAAAAAATTTTTATAGTTTCGTAACTATGTTTCGCACTTGTCGTTTGTTAAGTAAACCTGTGATTCCTCTTAGCAATATACTGATTCGTAAATATGCGAGTGTCTCTGCATCGCCTGTTGTAGTCTCAAAGTCTCAATCAGGAATTACAGTTGTTTCAGTTGAAGGTAAATAACTTTAATTTCAAATTCTTAAGTTTGATGTGTACCATTATGTTTAATTTATCCTTATATAATTTATACAATAATAAAAAGAGGGTGCTCCTGCGTCCTCTGTCGCCGTCATAGTTAAGGCAGGTCCTCGAGCAGAGAATGCAAATAGTGTTGGGGCAGCCCATTTCTTGAAAAATTTTGCATTTAAGGTAGGAACTTATTGAATTCGAAATTCGATTCAACTTTTCAATATATACCTTTTTGTAAATTATTTTGGGCGAGCCAAAATTTGTAAGGTTATAATATTCCGAGCACTGGATTGACGGTATTAGATTATCTAAAGGAAACCCAAAAACGTACTTCGTTTCGCACTATACGTGAAGCAGAACTGCTTGGTGGCGTCTTATCAGCAAATTTAACTCGAGAAACTTTAATTTATTCAGCAGAATTTTTGCGGGAAGATCTGTACGTATTCTTCTTTAATAATTTTATGGTTAAAAAAAAAATTTTTTTTAAATTTATCCAATAATTCTTTGATAATTTTTGCTAAAAAAAAAAAAAAATAAAAATAAAATATAGGTCACTTAAATATTTATATTTATCGCTTCCATTTTACGATATTTTACCTAATGCAGAACGTTTTTTCTGGGAATTTTATCAGACATCATTTTTGAAACAAAATATTTTCCATATGAATTCAATGATGTAAAAAAGAACGTTAATTTCGAAACGAATGCCACAAAAGCTTTACCTGAAGTAATTGCATTGAATGCTGCTCATTCAGTTGCATTCCGTCATGGTCTTGGAAATTCTTTATATGCAAATGAAAGTACAAAAGTGACATATATTCAAGATGTTATTGAATATGCCAAAAAAGTATATACCGCACCAAATATTACAATTGTGGGTACTTCCGTGGACCACAAAGAATTATTAAGGTTGACAAATGAACTATTTCAAAATATTAGTCACTCTGTTCCTTCTACCCCAATTCCTTCTAAATATTATGGTGGAGAAGAAAGGATTCCTGCTAAAGGCACTAGTCATTATGTACTTGCTTTTGCGGGTGCACCTGCAAATACTCCTGACTTTTTAGTGTTACAAGTTTTACGTTCTTTGTTAGATGGCGAAAAACATACCCGATGGGGTGAAGGGGTTAATATTTTAGCAAATAAATTTAAGGACACTAAAATTAGTACTTTCAATATTGGATACTCGGATGCTGGCCTTTTCGGTATATATTTTTCGGGCGTACCTACTTCCATATATCAAGCTGCAAGAATGGCTGTAGAACAATTGAAACATGCCGTTAAAAATGTTTCTGAAGAAGATTTTAGTCGAGCTTTAGCTAAAGCAAGATATAATATTGCATCTGCATATGAAGAACGTGCATCCAAAACTGAAATTTTTGGTAATCAGGTAACAAACAGTATATTGTTAAATAATATCATTTACACATTATTTCTTATAATTTATTAATTTATATAATACCTAATAATTTTTAGATTTTATCAACTGGAAAAGTTATCCCCGTAGAAGAAGCTATAGTTCAACTTGATCAAATTAAAGTACAAGACTTACAAAATGTAATTTTTTTTTTTTTACTTTCGACTGTTGTATTAAGTATTTTTATATATATTTATATATTACTTAATGTCTGTTTTTTTTTTTCATTTTATAATTAGATCGCCACAAAAATTCTCCAAAGTAAACCCACAACAGTTGCACTTGGTGACATTTACTCGTTGCCATATTCAGAAGCCCTTTCTCTTTAAACAGATTTAATTTATATAAATTTATAGAATCAATCATTGTATCAGAATTATTTTACCAAATATTTATGAAATAAATTATTCATTACTCAAAAATAATGTCTCCTGGAACCAGTTAAGTTTTTTTAAGCACATCAATCTTTATATTAAAAAGATATTAGTATTTTATATCGGAGTTTTTGTTATCTAATAAATTTAAAATTGTTTTAAGAAATTATTTTATAAATACTTTTAAATCTTTCATTTCATGATAAAATTTTTTGTTTAATACTAAAGTCATAAAATCACGCCCATAAAATATCCAAAATTCAAAATTATAATTGTTGGGTATTTCAAATTATTTGACAAAATGGGCAAGATCAAATAAAAGGACAACGTGTTAATTATCCGCCCTGACGCTTATTGTTAGTTTATGGGTCTCACGAGTTGCCCATATCATTTACTATCTATATTATAGGCTAAGTTAGGTCACGCTTCTATGTAGTACACACCATAATTAAAAGATAAAAGAATTTTTGATGAATACTTACACGAATTTTGGAAGGGTTATGAGTTATCCAAACTATCCAAACTATCCTTCGATTCCACTTACGCAACAAACTGCTCGCGTTGTTCAATATCCTCCTCCTCCACCACAACCTCCACTTCAACCTCAACCTAATATTCCTCTACGTAGACCTTCTTCTTCACCTTCACCTCAAAGAGAAAAAGAACTTTCGCCACCACCCTTACAAAGAAGAAGTACCGGAAATTCTCCAGTAAATATTTTTAAATAAAATTCCGTCTTTTAACCTCATTTATACACTTCTTAATAACAGAATATTTTTATATTTTTATATTTTTTATACTTTATATTAATGCAATAATTTTTTTTTGTACATTTTATTGATTGAATATTTTGTTTTTTTTTATTTAATAAATTAGATGAATTCTAATAATATTGAAAATACAGTAACTCAACTATTATTCACGACTAAATCTTTACTGGAAGCATTAACTTCATGGTCTTTAGGTCGCATGAATGAGCAACAAGTTTCTGATATTTATGTTCAGCTTGGTAGTGAATTAAATGTTGTTGTAAATTTATTTAATCAATCGGGAGTGGATATGAGGTAAATTATTATTATTTTTTTTTTTTTTTAAAAAAAAATGAGAATTCAAAGATTATGATCAAAAAAAAATATTAATTTCCACCCACCATTATAAATTATAATAGTAATATTGCGATTATTCCTCAAGAATTAAGAGTGTGTCTTGAAAAGACTTTGACCGAAGAGGCTTCACCAGCAACATTGGAGCAACACCTTCCTAGTATCAAGGAAATTATTGTATCTTTATTACAAGGCTTGAAGGCGAAACAAGTTATTTATCGTCAAATAACGAGTAATTCCGAGTCACCACCACCACCACCTCCTCCTCCTCCTCCACCCATGCCACCCAGAATAATAGATTCTGAATCTTCAGAATTGACAAATTATTCTAATACTAATGTCAAAATAAATCCGAGTGATCCTATGGTGGATGCTTTAAAACGCGTTAATCTTCTAGAACGTAAAGCGTCTAAGCGACATTCAGTTTACACAATGCAAAGGGGAACCGGTAGAAGGAATATTACACGTAGAAATCGAGAAGGGTTAATTCCTCCCCAAAATGATATACAAGAGGAGGAAGATTTTGAGAATAATGTGGAAAATGATAAAGAAGCAGTTGATTTAAATCATGGGATGTCAAATGAAGTTGATGATACTACAACTAATGATCAAGGTATGGCTAAAGAAATTTTTTTTTTTGTTTTATCATGTTAAAAATTATTTTATCAAAGATTATTAATATTTTGATAATAATTCTTTATTTAGAATCACGGGAAAATAATCCTTTAACTTTATATCTCCAACTGGGAAAAGATGTCAAGAAAATAAAATACGATGGAGATATAAGTATTCCCGCATTAAGAATGTTGTTTATCGAGAAATTTCAGTATAATCCTGGGCTGGATGATTTTCCAAATATATATATTAAGGATCCCAAGATCGGAATATTATACGAATTAGAAGATCTTGGGGAAGTTAAAAATAATTCTATTTTATCTTTAAATGTCAAAGGTAAGATATATATATATATATATATATTTTTCTTCCAGAAAAAATTGAAAGAAATTCATTTCAAGTTCGATAATTGTCAATTTTTTATTTAATAGTTTTAGAACAAGTTAAAAAGCATATTGATCAAAGTATGGCCGAGTTAACAAAGGAGATACGTGATATTAAAAAGTCAATTACTGAAAATGAATCAAAAATTCGGAATATTTCCACTCCTCCTACACCAAGCGCAACGCAATTTAGAGTTTTGGCAAAAAAAGTGATTTCAAATGTGAAGGATCAAAAAGAAGAAAAAGGAAGTAACAAAGATGCATTAGTAATTAAGATTGCTAATGAGCTCAAGGATCAATTTGTTGAAGTTCAGAATCTTAGAAGAGATTTAGGAATAATGCGACAATATTATACTGGATTTCAGGAAGAAACAAATCAATTGATTAAATCATTAACCACAAAAGCCGAAAATGTAAAACTTGTATTAAAGAATGTCAGTTCGGAACGGAAATTTATTGATGATGGTAAAGCAAAATTGGATGCTCGAACGAGTAACTTAATGACAAAAGTTGATGACCTTCAGGATATTATAGATGAACTTAAAGCAGATGTTGTAAAAAGAAGAGCAAAGCCAAGGGAGACATCAGTTCAACTTGTAAAAAAAGAGTCAGGAGAAATTGAGAAAGAATTAGAATCTTTGCACAAATACGTTAAAACTGTCAAACCAATGTGGAAAAAGACATGGGAAGAAGAATTACAGATGATAGTTGATGAGCAACAATTTTTAAGTCATCAAGAAGAACTTATTGAAGATTTAACGGATGATAACAAAAAATTAACCCAAGTATTTAACAAAGTTCTTGAAGTGGGTGAAGTTCGATTTAAATCTAAACCCAAAGAATATTTTGTAAAAGAAAAAGAAGAAGGTTTTGAAGGGTTAAAGACCGTTCTCCTAGAAGTTAAGGGGATTGCACCAGATCATGAAAGAAGATTAAAAGCTTTAGAACAATCTCAAAAGGCGCGAGAACGTGAATTAGCTAATCGTATCGATGAATTCGAAGCTGAATTGACTGATTTCGTTACTCATAGCAAGTTGAAAAAAACAGGAGGAGCACAAGAGGTTGAAAGATTACGCCAAAAGAAAAACGAAGATGTGCTAAAAGAACTATTCAAATCAAACTCGGAAAACAAAACATCTTAAACTGCAATTATTTTTTTATCTTTTTTTTGTTATATTAATCATTTATTATAATTATTATTTATTTATTTTATTTTTGAGCAATATGAAAATTTGAATCTTAAATATATTTATAAAACTCTTCCATTTTTTTTTTCCAAAGAAGCAATTCGAAATCACAAATTAATGTAAAATATGTATGATATAAAGAATATATAATATTTTGACAAATAAAAAGATGAAAAATAATGACAAATTTGCATGTTAACGGTAATGTTAATACGACGATGATAAATTCTATTAATTTATATTGCTTTTTTATTCATTACATACATAAATTTCAGTTTTTAATTAATTAAAAGTTCAAAAAACGTAAATTTGTAAAGTCAAATTAAAAACGAACGAACAACGAATATCTTACAATTAAAAAGAAATTATATGATCATTTCGTACTGCGATTACTTCTTCCAACTTTTCCATCTCTTGAAGTTCCATTTGATTTATTTGATTTCGCATTTTCACTTGAATTTTTTGTCTTGGAATCCTCTCCTTTTCTAGTTGCTCTATTGGCCATTAATTTCTCTTGCATAGCTTTAAATTCTTCTTCAGTTGGTTCATTAAAACCTAGTTCATCTATTTCTTCTTCTTCTTCTTCATCAGATACGATAAATTTATTTTTCTTGGATTTGGCTTTATTTGTCTTTAATTTCTTAGACTTATTATTAACATATTTTGATTCCAAATTTTCTAATAAAGCGCTCATTCTTTTCTCACTTCTTGATTGTATAATTTGTTTCAAATGGTCTTCGTCATTTCCATTATCTTTTAACAATTTTTTATCTAAGCCTAACTTTTTGGCCATTTCTTCGGCTTCTTGTGCTTCACTTTCTGCTTCTTTTTTACGTTTAGCTTTAGCAGTCTCACTAGTAGTAGTAATAAACTTTTTATAAGAAGTTATTTCCTTTGATAAAATGGCAGCCTGAAGTATCTCAATAAAACGTGATTCATCCTCTACAGAACCACATGTAATATGTTGCATAATTTTATTCATATCTCCTTTATATTTTTTGTAAGTTTCGATAAGTTCATTACGTTCTTCAGAAGAACCTATTCAATAAAAAATTTAACATTTATATATATATAACTTTTTTTCATCACTATTATTTGCAATAAAAAATGTCATATTTATAAAATCATTTATGTACTTTTCCTCGTGCTCACGTTTTACCTTGATAATTTGTACGAAATTCTTCTATCGACTCGGAAGTAACCGTGCCAGACCATAACTCTTTAAAGAAAGCATCCCATCCTTCTTTATCAAGATTTTCAAGACCATCTAAACCTTCGGTATCGCCAGTCTTATCATATGTCTCTCTTTTTTTAGGATCACTAAGGATTGCATATGCATAACCTATGTACTGAAATTTTCGTGTAGCTTCTTCGCGTTCTTTGAGTGTTAATTTTGTATGTTTATCAGGATGATATTGAAGTGCTAAACGATGATAGGATTTTTTAATTTCAGCAGTTGTAGCTTCGGGAGTAAGAGATAACCGTGAGTATAAGTCTTCGTTGGCAGTGGAGGTGATGTCTTTAGACATTTTCGAATGTTTTATTTATATATATATATAATTTCGTGTTTGAAAACGCGAAAAAATAATAATAGAGGTTAAATAACTAAATATCATGTGATTGTTTCTGATTTTTATAAAATCAAAAACTTATCGAAAATTAGATGCAAGATGTCTATATATAATAATCGTTTACCTGATGTACCGTTTACTTTCCAAACTGAACGATCTCATTCCGATTTGGAAGATTATATTCCTACTCCTTCTTCACCACGCAATAATGGCGTTAGTGTTTTCAGACTTTCACAAATAATAATTTCTGATAATGAAGAACCATTTATAGAATATATTGAATCGTCAGACGAAAAACAGCTTGTATATCTTAACCCTCCATACATTCAGGAGAATGATGTGGATTGGTCTGAAACTAATAAAACGTTGGGGGCTAAATTTAAACCCAACTCTAGAAATAATTTAATTTGTTATGTGATGGGAAAAACTCCACAGGAAGAATATGAAGAAAAGGATGATCGTCCTGACGACCAAGTTTATGAATTTTCACCTCTCGATGTAAACAATAATCGAGCAGCTTTTTACAATGAATCATATATGAGAATTTTGAAAGCAGTTGAATGTGATAAAGAACAAAAGAATCCACGCGTATTGACTATAACCAATTTAAGTAAAGTTTATTGGGACTACGCGAAAATATTAGAAAATCATGTTCAAAAATTAAAATCTCAAGGTAAAAGAACTTACGCTGAATTAAATACATTTCAAAATATTCTTATAATATGGGAACTTTGTGGAATTATTTATATTAATCCAAAGAAAGAATATCATGAAGAGTTATCACGTATTTTTCAAAATTCATACGGACGATTATCAAAAGAATTGACAGATTGGTCAAATAAATATCTTTCTTTACTTGATCCTTTTGAATTTGATGCGACAAATTTCATTGGAATCAATATACAAAATGATGATGACTTTTGGAGATGCTTACGAAAATCAGTTTTAAGAGGTTCACCGAAAGCAATTGATTTAATTGATTTGGCATTAAATAATGAAGAAGAAGAAGGATTTTTTGTAGAATATTTGATGCAAATTAAACAAATAATATCTTCACGACCACAATATAGACAAAAAGAATTTGATAAATTTAGTAATTTTTTTAGGGAATGGAATGATAAAATTAAAAGTCTTAAAAATGAACTTTCTAATCAGAGAAATGAAAATTTTCAAGGAAATATTTTATCTATTTTAAAAATATTACAAGGAGATATTGAATTTATACTTGAAACAAGTTCATCATGGATAGAAGCACTTATGAGTATGGTAATTTCACATCCATTATGGGATGTTCAAGTTTTAAGTGAAAAAGCTCGTGAATGTTTATATCGTTGGCCATTCAATAAAGAAAATAATGAACCAAAAATTTTAGAAAAAATTTTAGCACTATTTTTTCATAGAGATCTTGAACAAGGAATTAAATGTTGTGAAGATATTGATGAATGGTTAATTGCTCATTTATCTGATATGTTTAAGAAATTTGAATTAATTGGAAAAATTCGATTTCAAAATTCTCAAGTTCATCATCATCATTATATCAAAACCAATGGATCCGCTGCAGATGTTGATATTCGAGAATTTTCTTTACTCAATTTTGCTGAATCATTTGTTTCTCATCATTCTCTTTGGCAATTAGCATTTAAATATTTTGAATTATGTGAAACGTATGGAAAGTCATATATATCTGAACATATTGTAAGAATTCCATTTGATAATGAACGTAAATTGAGCAAAATATTAAACATTTGTAAACATAATGGATTAGATTTTCAAGCCAAAACAATATTAAGAATAGCGGGTAAAAGATGTTTACAAGAAAATAGATATATTTCATCAATTAAATATTTTATGGATGCGGGAGATACTGCATCATTAGAAGTTATATTTCGTATATTTTTAGATTATTATACAGATACAGGAGATTTAAGTATGTTTAATCAATTAGAGAGTGTTCAACTTGATGAATTATCTCCTGATTCTATGAAATTCCTTTCAAGATATCGACAATTTCATGAATTAATGCAATCAAGATTTTATCAAAAAGCCAGAATATGTATTATGGAATTAATACGTTCACAAATAGCACCCACAACTTTTTTACCAGTATTGGTTCTCAATACACTTCCTTTATTCCGAGTAGCACAACAAAATAACACAGTAATTTTAACAAATGCTGATAATTTTGAAATCTTAAGAAATTTATATAATCTTGTTCATGGTATGTATCAAGATGAATGTGTAAATTGTTTAGAACGAATGCGAAGTTGGCATACATATACTAATGGATACGCAGATATAGATGAAAAGTTGTCTGTTTTATGGACAGCGGTCAATAATAATCAATTAGTAGTTTATAAATATGGAGAAGAATCCAGTTCGTGTTGGATTTCAGATTAATTTATAAGAAAATATAATAAATAGAATTCTTTTTTCTTTTGTAAAATCAAATTTAATAAATTTAATCTAATCGAAATGGTACATGTTAATAACATGTTTTGAAAAAATACATAACCATTTGTATATCATTAATCATGGTTTTTTAAGATTATAATAACTATTTTTTGTAACATTTAAAGGAAATTTATAAATTATTTGTTTTGTTCTTTCGGTTAAGAATTTTCTGTTGAATTATTTTAAATTATTATAATTATTATAATTATTTTAATTATTTTAATTATTTTAATTATTATAATCATTTTAATTAAATATTTTGCATTCGTCCAAAAATGTTTGTTAATGAATTAATATTATTAATTCAATTCGATTTCATTTGCAAGTTACTTCCTTAATGCCACCACCACTTTTTTTTCAAAATTCTCTGCCAATTTTCCGGCTTTGAGACGCTCTTCGAGCATTGCTCTGCGTTTTGTTTCATCGAATGCAGGACATGGTAAAAAAGGCGGAGCGGCAACTGTGAATACAGCGAATAAAGCTACTGAGGCGAATAAAGTTAATGTAATTTTGGATTTTTGTGCGGCTGTTAGTCTTGTAGGTAATGAATGCATTTGTTAAGTTATTTATTTATTTTATGAGAACATTTCGCGAGAATTCGATTTTTTGGATTTTTTTTTTTTTTTTTTTTTTAAAAAAAAAGGTAGATGCGACGATTTGTTTATGAAAAAGTCTGATAAAAATGCAGATCACGCGTAATAATAATTAACGTAACTCTAAAAATGTCTACTTCAGATACTAAAGATACTAAAAAGAAAAGAAGGTGGTTACCTCTGGAATCTAACCCCGATGTCTGTATAATATTGTATAATATTTCATCGATTAAATTTCTTGTTGTTCATTAAGCTTCCTTCTTTTTTTTTTAATACTTCCTTAGGTTATGACCAAAGTAAGTGAAAAACAAAACATTATTTCAATTTTTATATAAATTTATATTAAGTCTTGGATCACTTGGATTTCGTTAGTATATTCATAAGTTAGGCGTATCTCCTTTGTGGGCCTATACTGATATATGGAGTAGGTATATATTTAAAATATTCTTTTTAAGATCGTTGAACTTCTTTTGAAAATATATTCAAATATTTTAACCTAATATTTAGGTCTTGATCCGGAGATTTTACTTTTGATTCCACAACCTGTTAAAGCAATTCTTATCTTATTCCCCATAAATGAAACTCATGAGGAATATAGTAAAGAAGAAGCAAAACGAATTGAAGTAAACGGACAGGAAGTATCTCCTGAAGTCATTTTTTTTAAACAAACAATATCTAACGCATGTGGAACTATTGGATTGTTGCATAGTTTGGCTAGCAATGTTGATTCAATTCCGATTGGTAATTATTTTTAATATTTACTTTAATTTTAAAAAAAAAAATATTTGAATTTATAAAAATTTAATATTCTATAATTTTCATTTTTTAAAAGAGGAAGGCCCATTTAAAAAATTATTGGATAAAACCAAAAATGCTACACCTATTGAAAGAACCAAATTGCTTGAAGAAGATGATGGATTAGCAGAAGCTCATAAGGAATATGCAATGACTGGACAATCTAGGGTTAGTGTTTTATTTCGCCATCGTTTCTATTTAAAGCTGTTTGTTGGAAGCTCACCTTTAACAATTTATCCATCTTTGAAAACAATAATAATAATAAATAATAAAAGCCTTTAACAGAAGAAGATCGGGTTGACACTCATTTCGTGTGCTTTATTCAAAAAGGCGGATCACTCTATGAATTGGATGGCAGAAAATCTTCTCCTATTAATCATGGTCCATGTCATGATTTATTAATGGTAAAGATTGTTTGCTTTATTCCAGTTTTTTTAACAAATTTTTATTAAATTTTTTTTTTTCTGATCTGAAATTTAAATAAATCAATAGGATTCAGTTAAAATTATTAAACAATTTATGGAACGGAATCCCGATAGTCTTAATTTTACAATGATTGCACTCGCACCAAAACAGTTTGAATAAATTATTCATTCTATTTTATAATTCATTTTTCTATGATTATTCATGTACAGTTCCAACTTTTCATTGCATGAAATATTAAAATAAAAAATAAAAAGTGGTTAAAAACATCGCTATTCGAATTATGTTAAAAACTTGTGATTGTGGGATTTTTATCTTTAAATGTTACTTTACTATTACACTCTAGCACGAATTTCTTTGTATTATCATATCTTTTTGAAATAAATTTTTCTTATATAAATTAAATAGCGGAATGCCTACATAAATCCGCATTGGTCTAGTGGCTAGGATTCCGCGCTTTCACCGCGGCGGCCGGGGTTCGATTCCCCGATGCGGAATTACCTTTTTATTATATAATACGATTCCATTTTGTATTTAATTCGGCCAAAATTGAAATAAATTTGTCGCGATAATCGTAAAATCACAAATCACAAAATCAGGAATCTGTAAAATTATCTGAGATAATCCATCAAACATCTAGATTTATCCAGATTTTTTTTTTCGAGATTTCTTTGTATGAAAAATATTTAAACAATATTTATTTGGATTATTTATTACCACATTCACAAAAAAAAAATGAGGCTATCACAACAAGATATCAGTAATGACTGTTTATTAAATGAAACAAACGAAACGAATGAAGTAAATGAAAACGAATTATGTGAAGAAGCGATTGAACTTGAAATGCTGGTTTCTAAAATGAAAGATCTAATGGTTAAACGTAATTATTCTCGAAAATTTTAAATTATTAAAAAATTATGATTAAATTTAAAAATATATTAAAAACAATATTTATAGATGTGAACGAAGGTAGAAAACCAGGAGCAACAGTGGTAAATTATAAAACACCTGAAGAATTACAAGAATTGATTGATTTAAATTTGGAATATAGTGGAATTAATGTTGAAGGTGATAAACTCCTATGATAATATATAATTTAATAATAATAATAAATATAATTTAATAATAATAATAATAATTTAATTTAAAATAATTTAATTTATAATAGGTTTGATCCCATTAATACAAAATATTCTACATTACAGTGTAAATACTTGGAATCCGGGATTTATGGATAAATTATATGCTGGCACCAATCCTGTTGGAATTATATCAGAGATGTTAATAACTTTATTGAATGCAAATTCACATGTATATCATGTATCCCCAGCTCTCACAATAATTGAAAATACGGTATCAAAGGAATTGGCTAAATTATTGGGAATGGGTGAGGTATGTATATATTATTATTTATTTATTATATATCTTATTATTTATTTGTTATTATAAATGATAATTTAATAATTTATTGATTAATTAGAAATCAGGAGGAATAACATGTCCCGGTGGTTCATTCTCAAATCAATTGGCAATGATAACTGCACGAAATCACATGTTTCCTGAGATCAAAACTAAGGGTTATTTTAATTTTGGCAAAAGACTATTAGTGTTCACTTCTTCTGCAGGTCATTATAGTATTGAGAAAACTGCTATGTCATTAGGATTGGGTACTGATAGTGTAATTAAAGTGTCTTGTGATGAGAAAGGAAGAATGAGAGTAGATGAATTAGGTATAATATACACCAAAAACATAAAGAAATTATTGTGAATAAAAATATATATTAAAACCAGTTTTTTTCTTTTCTTAGAACTTCTCATTAAAAAATCAATACAACAAGGTGATATTCCATTTTTTATTAATGCTACTGCTGGTACAACAGTTTTGGTGTGTACAATTTTTTTTTCAATTTTTCTTTTAATTTTTCTTTTAATTTTTCTTTTAATTTTTTTTTGAATTTTTTTTTGAAAATTTCTTTTTTTTGAATTTTGATTTTTCTTTTTAATTTTCTTTTAATTATTTATATAAAAAAAAATAAAATAGGGAGCATTTGATCCATTACAGGAAATAGGAAAAATAGCAAAACAATATAACATATGGTTTCATGTTGATGGATCATGGGGTGGAAGTTTGGTATTTTCTAAAAAACATAAATATTTACTTGATGGAACAAATTTAGTAAGTTTTTTATAATTTATGAATATTGTTTATTTAATTTATACATTGGTTATATAATATTTATAATATTTATATACTTGAAATAAATTCATTAATTTTTATTAATTTTTAAATTATAGGCTAATACATTAGTAATAAATCCTCATAAAATGCTAGGTACACCATTACAATGTTCATTTTTGCTTGCTCAAAATTCTCAAATTTTTGCTCAATCAAATTCTTTGGATGCTGAATATTTATTTCATAAAGAAAAAAATGATATTGGTGAAGGTACAGTAGGATGTGGTCGAAAACCTGATGCAGTGAAATTATTTATTGGATGGAAAATATTTGGTATTGAAGGATATCAAAAAAGAATTGAACATGCATTTATAATGAGTAAACATTTATTAAGAAGATTAAAAAATCACAAAAGATTTAGAATGGTATTAGAAGAACCTGAGAATTTACAAGTTTGTTTTTGGTATATACCAGAAGAAATTGAGGAATTTTGGTTAAATGAAAAATATAAAAAATATAATAATTTGAAAGAAATAATAATAAAAAATAATAATGAACAATTAAAAAATTATGAAAATTTAAATAATAATCAAGAAAATTATTTTAAAAATTACAAATTATTTAAATATAAATTGTCAAAAATTACCAAAGAAATACATTTAAAAATTAGAAGAAATGGAAAATATTTATTTGATTATTCACCAATAACTTTAGAAAATATAGAATTACCTTTATTTTTTAGAATTGTAATTAATTCACCCACCATTAATGAAAAACTTTTAGATAGTTTATTAGATCAAATTGAAATTGTAGGTAAATCTGTGATGGAATCTTTAAATGATAATGATAATAGAATTAATCAAATTAATGAATATACAACTGATATTAATTAACTTTGATAATGGATAAATAGTAATAATAGAATAAATAGATATTGTAAAAAAATGAATAATTTTTATTATTATTTTTATTTATAATTTATTTATTAATAGTTATTTAGATTTTTTTATTTTTTATTTTTTTTGTATTATTAATTATAAATATAAATTGAAATATTTTAAATAATATATATATCACTTATCAGAAATGTCACAAAAAAAATCAGACTAATTTTTTATACTATGATATTGTAACACTAGAAAAATGGGGAGCATTATAAGTCTGGAACAAAAATTTACAAATTTTTAAAATTTTTACTTTAAAATTTAATTGTTTTGAATTAAATCAATATATTATACTACAATTAATCAATGTATCATATTATAATCAATTAATGTGTCTTTTACAATTAATCAACATATCATGACATTTGTAAAGAATTATATTTCAATAAATAAAATAAAATTTAAATATTTATTTTACATTTTAAAAATTCTTTTATTACAAAAATATAAAAACAAAATTGCTATATTTCAATATTCTCATATGTATGTAAAATGTATATCACTTTTTAACATACCTAGTTAATCAAATTTTGAGCTTGTAATCACAATCAATTGATAAAGACATATTTGTGCTACTATATATATCTATATAACTAATTTATCTAAGCTTTGAAAATCAATTAATCAGTAAATAAAATTTCATTTGATTATAAATATATTTTCATACTTATTTGTAATTTTTCCAATAAAAAACAGTAATATAATAAATATTCAAAATATTTCTTATGATACCCTTAGAAAGTGAAAAAGTAAAAAGTTCAAAACACCTGATCAATATAAAAAAAGACTCTTGTGAGATCATGAAAGGAAATACAAAAAAGAGCATATGTTATTATAAATAGTGAATGAAAACAAAACAGGAAAATAATGAGATACAGCAAAAAGATATCCAGTAACAAATAAGCCATAGAAATGTATTAGGTATTATTAATGAACAGAAAAATAATGAAATACAGCAAATAAATACTCAGAACAAATAAGTCATAAAAATGTATTGGGTATTATTGATGAACAACAAAATATTAATTTTGATTCATGAAAACTTAATCAACCTCAAAATATCAATCTGCTGAATAATGTGACTACACTTGATAAATGTAATATGGCTGTCTATATTCAAAATATTGATCTGTCTAGTAAAACAACTATTCTAGATGAATTCAATCAAAATTTTATATACCAGTTTTGCATTAAAATGAACAAGCTAAAGTATAACTTTTGTCCTGTATATAACAAAAGTTTTCTATCAATAATACTTGTTAAGAGATAATATTAATATTTTTATAGTGAAAAAAATTTATCTAAAAGATTCTCTACTAAAATAACATGGATCTGAATAAAGTATTAAAAGAATTAGACAATCTTATGGAAATCAAAGAAATATTTATATCATAAGTATTTCCTATAATATCAGTTTATAGACTTTGTGGAAGGTAATATGTGTATCACAAAAATGTAATAAATTTTTCTTAGAATGAACAAGAGTTTATTATGTGACTTTTCTGACATCTGTTATGGGTTTCTTTCACTTTAATAATTTTTTATATATTATTATTTTATTTCTTAATTGTTATTTATTTTGTTAGTATATATTTTATTTATTAACTATAATTAATATTATTTATTAGTGTAATATAAATTATCAATCAGTGGTTATTTTAGGATTAGTATTAGGAGGTATTTTTAATTATAGGATCATCAGGAAATTTAATTAGGCGTCGATTTACGGAATATCACATGACCTCCGGAAATTTCCGCCTGAAAAATTTGAT